TAACGTTAAAATTGGGATAAAAATTTTTTGACTGCGGATTATTGTTTATTGATGTATCCCAACATTACATGAATTTTTTCATTCCTTAATATTTACATTTAATATGTTTAAATAATTTTTTTTGTTTTTATGTCAGAGTGACGAAAGGTGCGCGGAAGCTACCCGCTTTTGGCTCTATTTTCAGGGCTCTGTAAAAATTATAAATAATCGAGATACAGTTTCGGGAGTCGGAACTTTTTTTACGCAAATTCATTGATCTTTTTAATTTTTTTTTCAAATTTCTAAAATTTTGAAAATTTTCCGAGATATTAAGAAAAAACTAAAGCCCCATTTTTTTCACTCAATTGTTTATAACTTTTGTAATTTTTATCGACGCGTTTTCGGACCTTTCCATAAACTTTCTAGACAAAAGTAGGAATCGAATGACACCTTGGTCGTAGTTTTTGGACAGGGTTGAAAAATGTCACCAAAAAGAGCTGGTTCACATGTACTCGACATGTGAACCAGACTAGACAGTTGCGATCTGAGTTTCTGCTGATACTTGACGAGAAGAGAGTCTTCTACTGTCGGCATCTCTTGAAAATGGCATTATTCCACCCTCGGTGAGTGTACGTCTCTTCAGCATCCAAATGCTTCTGTCTACGAGCCTCTTTTCTTTATGTAATGTAAAGTCCTCTTTTGATATCCAACGTTGCATTGTCTACTCCGAATTCCATACTGATAACAAGCGTGTACAGTTACAGCATCCTCAAAGAGTGAGGATCCTTTCTCCCTCAGACACAAAGTTCAAGATGATCTTCCGGTCTCCAAGAGTTACCGCAGCTGTATCCACGACTATTTTTGTGAGAAACGAATACTAGCAACGGTGAGACGCAGGGAAGAAACCAGCTGAGGGAATCCCTCTTTAACACACTCCTGAAGATGATCTGGAGCGAGTCCTTCTGGACGTATGAGGAAAGGCACAATGACTTCGTACGATTTTGTATCAAAGGATTTGTGATAATCGATTCAGGCATACTGACACGCAGTATGTCATTCACTACGAAAAAGCTACTGTGATAGCGAAACATCTGTGTTTTATTTTTTGAACGGATCAACTCAAAAAAATGAATCTAAAAATCTAATTTTTTTAAATCTGTTTTTCCGTTGATCAGCTGTCGTTCCTATACGAACGACAACTCTCAGAAGTTGAGAAACTTGTGCGAGCTAAGGACTAACGAGGTCTTACCTTGTAACGTGTGATTCCTAACACGTTTGGGATGATGAAATTAATGCATGAGTACTTTATTTTAAGTGAAATTGACAGATGAAATTTTCAAGATGGCGACTGAGAGCCATGTGAGAAAAAAAATTAAATTGAAAGGGGGGGGGGTCTTGTGACACAACATTTTGAAGCTCCTGACGAATACTTCACAACCCTAGAATATGAAATCAATATCTTCACCTACTACAAAATGGCGGAACATTAACTGATTTCCTGAAGACAAACACATTATTATCATAAAGTTTGTTAAGTTATTTTTTGTTTATAAAATGACAAAAAATGTCAGTAACCCAATGAATATCATTGTTCAGTTAAAATATTCTCATTCAGTTTTCGGGTACCACGTCAACAATCTCTAAAATGGTCAATTCTCGTTCATTGGAAGAAAAATTTATGCGATTTTTATTATCGGTGCGATGCGTAACGAGACCGAAAAGATTTTCAATGAACATTTTCTGAACCGTCCTATCTGTAGAAAATATTTGAGGGAGCTTGTATCCAAATTGACAACTACCGGTAGTGTACATAACAAAAAGCTCCCAGGTCATCCGTCCATTCCGGAAGAACAGCAAGGGCAAATAATTGGTGAGATGGTAGTAAATCCTGAACAGTCATCAAAAATGATGGATAAACTTGATTTGATTTGATAATAAATTCGATATGGATTGACCGTCGAGGTCCTACAGAATGGCCACCCCGCTCGCCAGATTTGATACCTTTGGATTTTTTATGGGGCTATTTGAAGTAAAAGGCATACGAAACTGAACATGCTTCAATATTGGATATACGGCATATAATAATAAATATTTGTAGCGATATTGACGTTACTATGTTCGAAAATGTTTGGCGTGGTATATCTGATAGGCTATTCATATCTCCAGTTCAAGGCAACCATTTCGAGCATCTTCTGAACTGATCTCAAGTTTACTACCTCATATTATGTAGATAAATGTCAATAAATTCAGGCAATTATCAAAAGTTCCGCCATTTTGTAGTAGTTGAAAAGAAATCTGTTTTTCCTTTAATCAGCTGTCGCCCCCATACGAACGACAACTCTCAGAAGTTGAGCAACTTGTGCGAGCTAAGGACTAACGAGGTCTCACCTTTCAACGTGTGATTCCTAACACAGTTGCGGAATCATCCCAGCTTCAACCAGATAAATTCTCTCGAGAAAAATATCTGGTCGAGGTAGGAATCGAACCCACGGTCTTCTGATCGTGAGTCTGCCGCACTACCACCGCGGCCAATTCCACAAGGTTGAAGTCGAAGATATCGACATTACATTCTAGGGTTGTTGAGCATTTGTCAGGAGCTTCAAAAAGTTTCATCTGTCAATTTCACTTCAAAATAAAGTATTCATGCATTAATTTCATTATACCAAATTTGAATATTTTGATGAACCGTTCATAAAATAAAAGGAGGAGGCATAAACTAAGGGCGAACACCTTAAAAGAGACAGCATCAGAAATCGCCAAGCCCCTAGTATTTTTAGTGAATACATACAGGCTGATTCACGGTGGATGGCACATTAGACGTTTCTGGTGAACCAGACAACGGGTCACTTTGAAAATTTAATGGAGGGCATATTCGGACATTCTCTAGCCAACTAAAATATTTTCGACAATGCGGTGTTGCCGCTTCTATTAGAAAGCAGTAGCAACTTTGATTTTTCAAATG